CATTCTGTTAATGAATAGAATGATTTGTTCTAATGGTGTTTGTAAATAGGATCACAAGTCCGCATCTTGTACAGCAATTAACACTAAGAAGAATATATGCAGTGTATTATTTGTTGAAAAAAAATAAATTTCTTCATCTAAAAAAAAAAAGAAAAAAAAATCTGACACTATCTGCCTGCCAAGTGCAAGGTCCTGAGTTCAACCCCTGGTACCACAAAAAAAAAGAAGAAAAAGAAAAAAAGAAAAGAAACAAAATCTGACACTATATACAAGAAAATTCTCTTGATATTTACCTTTGGGAGGTGAAACTATGTTTATTTTTACCTTTTTTACAGACTCTGAATGAGAGATTGAAATCTTCACTCACAACTTGATTGTGTTGATCATGTTGGACAAATGTCAAGTAGTAATTTAGAAAATAAAAGTAATTTCTACTTCAGATTTTTATTTACATTAATAAAGATAGTGTAAAGTTCTCCATGTATGAAGGTGTTTATGTGCTGTCTTTTATTTAACTTATCAATGGCTATTGTAGGGTGAAATGGAGTGAAACATGACAAAAATATGTATAGGATGTATTCAAAAATACTAAAGGATTTTTTTTTTATTTTAGGAAAGGGTCTACAAGGTGTTCAGGGTCTCACTACTAGATCAGACTTGTAGTGATCTGCCTGTTTACAGCCTGCCAAGAGCTGGGATTACAGGTGTGCACCACCACACCCAGTCTCCATTGCCATCTCAGCTTGCCCTGGGGGATGGGGCTGGAATGGCAGGCCTGAGGATCAAACCCCTGTCCCCTGCACCTGCTTGCCAGCACTTTAATCTGCTGAGCTATAAAAAATGCTAAAGGATTATCAAAGGCCATGTATATTTTTAAACTGTACAGTGAAAGAAAAAACAATTTCCTCACCTAAGAGTAGTGATTTATAATATTTTTAGCAATTTGCTGAAATGACAGTCCATCTACCCCTTAAATTGTAGTACAGAATGAGGGCATAAAGTAGAAAAAACAGAAAGTCATTCTTAGTTTACATAGTTATGCAAGAACTAGGTCCAGGGGAGAACTACCCTCTCGGGCACCACCCCGCCCCCCGTCCCTCTCTTGGGACTGGAACTTTCTTTCTCTCAATAAATATATTCTGCTCATAAAAAAAATTAAAAAACTAGGTCCATAGAAAGGTAAACAAGATTTTCTTTCAAGTATCAAACACTATCTCTCAAAACTTCATGTGCTCTTGAAGGGCGTTAACTTGTAGGATTGTCATAAGAAGCGTAAAAAGCACATTGTAGGGCCAGGAATGGTGGTGCACACCTGTAATGTCAGTACTCAGGAGAGTGAGGCAGGGATATCGTTGTGAGTTTGAGATCAGCCTGGGCTTCAAAGTGAACACAATACCAGCCTGAACTGCATACAAAGACCCTGTCTCAAAAAGACAAAAACAAAGTATTGCAGAACACTATTGAGACATGGTCCCTCTTTCAACAATGAATGAAACATTAACTTATCTTTGGAGCAGTTTGCTAGGGCTGGGGATATAGGTCAGTGGCAAAGTGCCTTCCTGGCAAGCACAAGGTCCTGAGTTCAATTCCCAGTACCAAACAGAGATGGAGAAATTTGCCATCTGAATTGCCAGCCCACATTCTCTTGGTCCTGGAGCTCCATGTATGATGCACAGGACTGATTCCAATCCTTCCCTCAGTCACTGGAGGACTTAGAGATTGGCATCATTTAACCCACACAGGCCAACTCTGAATGCTTTTTCCATTGCTCTCACCAAAAGTGAGCAACTGGATTAAATACTCAAAAACTTCTATAATTAAAAATAAAACTAATAAGAATCCCTCCAAGCTGAAGGTTTGAAAGAAGCCAACATAACAGAAATGTCTGAAGCCAAACAGGACCCAAGAAGTTGATCAGTTCATTGTGGGAAGCTG